TTACAAAAAGTGTTCACTGTCTAAGGTCGCTCTAGTTACCTACTATCTTAAAAGAAGTAGATATAGGATAACAATATCAATATAATAAGTATTGAACAAGTTGTTTACAAAATTAAGTATAACTCAAATAATAATACAAAGATTTTTAGAAAAATATAAAAGAACCAAAAAAATCAAAAATTTATCTTAGTCTAGATATTCATTTATTTTGAATAAACAAAAAAAAACTATTATATTAAAAAAATATTAAAGAAAAGACAAGAATTTAAATCTTCAATGCAATATACAGACTATAACCAAAATCTTATATAATATTGAACTTTATTTTTGTATTGTTATTTTAAAATCTTTTTGTTAATAATAATATAGAAGAATATATAAAATAGTATAAACAAAATAAAATAATTACTATTAAAAATATATTATTTTTTTAAATAAAATGAATATAAGAAAGGTAAAAAATCCTGTCAAGTTTATGTATAACATTATATGAATGAAAGATACAAATATAAATGTTTACAATTAAATTTTAAAAGTTAAAAGATTTCAATAATTTGATTATGTTTTGTTGATGACATTATAAGTTTCATAATTTTTTTTTTGATAATTTCAAACAGACCTACTAAAAAATTAATTATCAATTAATTTTTATCATATATTATAAATTAAAATCAATCAAAATTATTATAAAATTAATTAAAACCCAATTAATAATAAAATAATTACAATTATTTGTTAAGCACAATACTGTGTCAGCTTGTGTTAGATCAAAAAAAATAAGAGTTTTTATTATTATATACAGCTAATCTATATAAAACTTGCATATTAAATAAATTTTAAAATCTTATTCTGCTAATAATTGCATTACATATTTGATACTAGTATAGATTCTGATTAACTTGTTTAATTACAATAATGATACATAATACTGTAATATATTTTTGAATAAAAAGGTATAGTAATAAAAAACATAATATTATTTAACTTGATTAACATTCTGAATTGACTACATGTTACTATTCATTCTTAGAAGCAAAAGATTTTTTAAAAAATTTAAGTCAAGCAATTTTCTTAAATCAGTATAGTAATATTTAACAATTGAAAATAATTGTTCTACTGCATTAAATGTTAGAGAAATAAGATTTATATTCATATATTTAGATTTATCTAGTTTGTATTTTTTTTGTTACATGCTCTTTTATTGTTATAGGTTCTTCTACTATTGCCTGAATATTTTCTTTCACAATAAACACTTGAAGTTTTTACTTTTTAATAAATATCAGACCAGCTTCTTGGCTTCATAAAACTTTGACTACAGCAATTTCAAAAAAAAATCATAAATTATTGATATATTTCTTCCTAATTGACTTTTTAGTTTAGCACATTCTTTAATCAATAAGTTGAAATAAGCATAAACATTGTTTAAATTTATTGATTCATTTTGTAAATTGTTAGTTGCTTCTAAAAAATATTTGAGTCAATTAATAAAACTATTAATTTTATTTAAATTTAATTGCTCTACTAATAAAATATCTTAAGCTAAAAAATTAAAAAATAAAATAAATAAATAAATTAAAATAAATAAATAAAAAATTAAAATAAATTTATATATATATATATTTAAAAATCCATTAACCTATATAATGTAAAGAATAAATTCTTTACATTAATTAACTATTTTTAATATACTTATTCAATGAGTTATATTATCTAATATGAGCTTTAATGAAGTTCTTTGCAAGTTTTTACAATTTTTATAAGTTCACATTATGATTACAATTATATAAATTTGGTTTACAAGGTTAAATAAAGTATTAATAATGTTATTAACTGCTAAATTTAAATAATGTGATGTACATTCTAAAAGTAGAAGATTAAATCATTTGCTATTTTTTTATTAGTACTACAGTTATCTCTCAAAAAAAACAGAATATCACAAATACTCTTATTATATAATTTCAAAATATCTTCAATGAATCTAACATATGCATCTGCACTCTGAGTAGTACAATTCTCAAATAGTGAAAATGCTAGTAAAACCAAGCTTCTGACTTTATAAGCTGTTTGATAAACACTAAATAAACTAACAAAATGAATTTCACTATTTGTCTATCTGTCAAACATAATTCTGATTTTTTTTAGTAAGATAGTTTTAATTTTTTCTTGCACAAGATTTGCTAAGCTGTTAAAATACTTGCTAATCATTAAAATATATACTTTTAAAAGACTGGTATGCTCAGTAAAATCAGGATTTTTACATGTACTAAAAGGTAACTGACATTTTATAATAAGGCTTAACTAATTAAAATATTATGCATACTTGTGCTATAATTAATAATAATAATGTTTTTATAAAAAAAAAATACTAGATACAGTACATTACTAATAAATCAACTTGAAATTTTCATGTTTTGCATCTAAATAATTCATTAAATTTGTATAGTCAAAATCTTTTTTTTTGGCTATTGGTTTTGATCCAAGAAGACATAAATTACATTGATGTTTAGTATTATTTATAGGGTTAAAAAAAACTTTGACATATAACTTGTTTAAAACTTTTGTATTTATAGAAGTAAATTTTAAAATAGAAAAGTTGAATGCACTACTTTAATGTATGTACCTTTGAATGGCTTGTAATTTTTTATATAAATTTATTAAATAAATTAACTAATATTGACACAATAAATTAATATAATATATGATATAACTGATTACATGATTTTATAAAAAATTTGTAATTAATTGACTAATTGTGACTGCACCATCAATTAATTAATTGAGTTTGAAAAATTGCAATTAATTGCCTCTACAATCAATTATTCAATAGGCCTGATTACAAAGATCCCAAGCAAAAAATTAATAAAAACATTTATCCAAGATTCTAAATGATTATATTATATCATTTATAGCTGCAGTTTATTTGTTAAATAATTCCAATCCAATTTTTCAGTATGACAATGCTCTAATTCATAAGGTGTCAGATTGACTAAATTTGAACAACATTGATTATATGAATTGGCACTCACAATCTCCTAACCTTAATTCCATAGAAAATATTTAAAAGATCGTGAAAGACAATACTCAGAACTGTGATGACTTCCTGAGAAATAAATCTGACCTTAAAACGGCCTTACAGGAAGCATGGTCAAATTTGGATACGTCAGTTCTTCGTGTAGTTGCAGACTCAATGACACGAAGAATCGACGCTATCGCAAGTGTAGGAGGTCGCTCAGTAAAGTATTAAATAAATATAAAAAATTTTTTTTGATGTATATGCGGGCAAAATTAATAATAAAAATTTTATTTTTTGATCAAAAATCTGGCGTTACTTTTGTTGGCTCTACTTTAAAACAGTATAAATTAATTTCACTTTTTTTTTAGTGAACAAACAGTTTTTGAGTATATTCACATGAGATATTTATTTTATCAAAAATTTTCAGCCACCTGGACTGTTGCATACATTCTAAATATGTATTGCCCTGTGACAACATTTATTTTCATAGACCATACGTAGAATTTATTACTGTTTTTCGTTTTGCTGTGTTATTGTCTTTTTTAAATCATAATGCTGTATAATTTGAAAAAAAAACTACAGTAAGTATAACATGTATAACTACAACAAAAATAAATAAACGTAAATAAATAAACTCGCCTTAATTAACAAACTAGAAAGAAATGCACCGCAAAAAACAGGAATATTAAGCCTATAAGCAGCTTGTAATGCATTAACGTAAATTTGCATGATATTTTGTCTTACATCCAAATCAGTTAGTTGCCAAAGATACAATGGTTCTCTTCTTGCTCGTTCAAGATTAAATGTTCCTGGAGATAATTGAGAATAGGTTGAAAGTCCTTCAGAAAGTACATTATTGAAAATTGCACCTAAAATTGCTACACCAAAAATACCACCAACTTAAAGGGTTCAAAAAAGTATGTTAGATAATAAAAGAAAAAAACATGTATAATTCATATGAATACATATATATATATATATTTTTAAAGTAAAACTTACTAATGCGACTAAAATTATACATAGCAGTAACAGTAGCTAAATATTCAATCTCAACACAACTTTGTAGAGAAAGTAATGTAGTTTGAGCTACCAAACCAAATCCACATCCAATTAAAAGCAAATAACCAATTTGTTGACCTGTTGTCGAGCTGATATCAAAAAATATGCTAATAAGTACTGCACCAGCAACTGAGATTAAGGAACCGATCCAAATAATTTCACGAACTCTTCCAGTGTATGTTGTTATTAGTCCAGCAACAGCTGAAAATATTACTAATCCGAGAATAAGTGGTAATATCAACAGGCCTGACTCTGTAGCTGAAACACCTTTCATTACCTAAGTAAAACAATCGTTAGAGAAGAGTGATCGTAATCATAATAATAGTATAATAGCAGTAATAATAATAGTAATAATAATAATAGTAGTAATAATAGATGTAATAATAATAAGAACCTGGAAGTATAAAGGGGTGTAGAATACCATCGAGTAAAACACCATCCCAAATAACAAATTAAATATAAAAGTTGCAATTGCGGTTCGCACTTTAAATATTTGAGCAGGTATGATAGGTTCAGAAGCAACTTTAGTTTCCACATAAATCAGAATTAATAAAAAAATAAAACTAGCAATGTATAAAGTAATTATTTGAGGACTATTCCAAGGATAAGTGTCACCACCCCAATTAGTTGGTAATAATAAACAAACTACAGTAGTAAATATAAGACAAGAACCCAAATAATCAATTCTTTTAAGTTTTTCACCTAAAGAACCAGTAGGTCTTGGAAGATGTAAGAAAAAAATCACTATTATTATAGTTATGAGTCCAATTGGAAGATTGATAAAGAAAGCCCATCTCCAGCTTAGGTGATCAGAAAAGAGGCCTCCGGCCAAAGGTCCTACGATTGAGGATATGCCCCAAACTCCTCCGATAATACCTTGATATTTTCCGCGATCACGTTGACTAGTGACATCTGACATTATAATCATTAATAAGCTGTACAAAAATGATTATTTTGGTATCGGTTATAATATAAAAGAAAAACGGTGATGATAAACAATAAATATTATATACTTTATAATTGCTCCAGCACCCTGAATCCAATGACAATAACAATATCGATATTAGAATATTTTTTTAAAAAAGAGTAAGACGCATTCAGAAATATATACTTACCAACCCAGACAAACCACGAAATACAATTAGCATGATCATATTCTAAACAAGACAAAATTAATTATTTATATAATGTAAAAAAAAAGAAAAAATATATTTTGTATATTTTACTTGAGCGGCACCGCATAAAACTGATGCTATTATAAAAGTTCCAAGAGCAACTAAAAATGTAGGTTTCCTTTAAACAATTAACGTATGATAAAGATTAGAAAGATTAGAATGGCTAGAATGGTTAAAATGATTAGAATGATTAGAAATATTACGAGACTTTTAGCATTTTTTTCTTAATACCTTCCAAATATGTCAGAAACCTTTCCAGAAATTGGTTGTGAAGTTGTTGAGGTTAATAAATAGGCAGTTCCGATCCATGTTATTTGGTCTAATGAATTAAATTCTGATACAATATTTGGTAAACATGTTGCTATTATCATTTGATCCAATCCTGCTAAAAATACGGCAAGAAGCAATCTTTTTTTATTCAAGATAACATTGAAAAATAATTAACAATGGTATTATAATACACGTATCTTAAAGAATTATTCAAATTTATATAGCATTAACGTACGCTAAGAACACAAGCACTAATTCTTTGATAGGTAATAGTACGGACTTTTCATCCTCATAATAGCTATCCGTTACATTTGATTTGGGAGCTACATTTAATACTTTATTGTCATTTTCATCATGAGAATTAGGAACCGTTATTGCAATGGAGTCTTGTGTTTCGATCATTATTATTACACGATTATTTCTTAATTTTGAATTTCTTTTATACCAATATTTATAGTTAAAATTTTATTAAATGACTAATAGAATAGCAAAAAAATATATATATATTTTTTTTTTGCTGCTTCCATAGGTTGCTATCTGCATGTCAATGCTTTTTATATGTACGTTTGTTAAACATCCTGAATGTTAGTTTCTATTAAAGTAAGTCTATTAGTATTGTTTTGTAGTGAATGTGTCTAGCACATATTAATATATAGTTTATTTTTGCCTATACCGATTCTGTACTTCCGGTAGGATTGTCTACCGTGCGCCGTATATCTCATTTGCACAATAACAATAAATTACCTCAGTACGTTTAACAAACTTAAGTCTTATGGAACGTTTATACAGGCTGACTTGCTGCATATTTCGATAATTAGAACATAATTTCATTGCAAAATTATGTGAATTATTATTATTATTATTATTATTATTTAATATTATTGGGTAATTAATATTGTTTGACGGACATTAAGATTCATTAATATTCGTATTATTGTCATTACAGCATTAGATACTATTGTCATTACTTCCAAAAAAAAAAAGAAAACCAATACGTAACGTTTTCAAATACATACACAAAAAAACCAATAAAGCTAAAAATAACATCCTAACCAAAAGAAAAAGGTTCCAGGTTATCTTAAAATGAATTCTCTTTTTTACTCGTAGAATTTCATGTGTAACCATTGATGAACCCAATAAATAATCTTAGCGTTAGTAATATAAATAATATTCAATAGAGGTTAAGAGATTGACGAGAGAAAATAAATGTATGCACAAGAATTTATGTAAACTTATGTAAAATAAGACGATAATAAACAAAATTTGACCTCATTAAGTATTCTCTATCGTGTAATGGGTATAGTACACTTTTTTTTTTAAAAAAAAAAATAATCGGATATTTACACAAAATTTTCGTTGAAAAAAATTACACTAATCCGGATTCAACCATAGCGATAGATATCGATATGCGATGGAAAAAGATTTTCAGACAAATATAGAATCATGTAATGAATAATAGTCATCATACCATTGTTCAGAATCATAATATTTTAGAGAATCTGGATCTGCTGTATCTGCATCATCACAATTTACTCTGCCGTACTTTCTATAGTTACGGTATGGTGGATATCCATATGACATTGAATCAAATCCTAAGACATTAACTTCAAATCCTTATTATAGAAGAATAATTTGTTATAGATAATAAAAAAGTCATTCGCGTTTGAATGTAATGAAAATTTTTAAAACTGACCATCTTCTAAATAAATACTTTCAAGGCCACTTAGCAAATATTGATAAACGAAACATATCATGATGAATAGAATTATTGAAATTGCGTAGAATTTGATACTATTCATCTTTTTCTTCGGCACTCTTCTTAGTGATCAAAACAAAATTGGTTGAGACAGAAGAATGCAAGAAAGACTTTAATACGTAGAGATTTAAATAATCAAGTGTGTTGAGGCTTATGACGAGGTGGCTTATACAACAAAGCCCAGAAATATAAATATTTTATCTCATAATTTTAGACGTAAACTTACGTACATATTATACGTATTATATGTATGTATATTTTTCGCGAATTAAAAAAAGGTCTAAAGCAATATAAGCCACGAAAACCACAAAGAATCATACGATACAAATATAAAATTTTAAGCTTCACATTCAAGGCATGCGAATAAATATAGACATTTGATATCGATATATATTTGAATTCTTGCTTAACGTTAACAAGCCACATTACCTTAGCGTTAGGCGTTTATTTAATGCTTTCATGTGAACAAAGTTGCAAATGTAGTTGTTCATGTCGCGCAGCCTGAGTATTTCAAGCAGTTGGGAGGTTATTAAGAATTTTGGCGTCCAAGAATTTTTTATGTCATCTGGGTTGGAATTTTTTCATTTACTTTATTCTAATTCCTCTCATCAATAGCGATAGAGATAAATCCTTCAATGATAAATTATAAAACTGATTTTCCTGATAAATATATTGTAGTTTCCATTGTAAGTCTATCAAGTGAAATCTTGTGATTCAATCAAAGATGTTAACAATAGTTTATTATATGATAATAGTCAACCTTTTTACATACACAGATACATAATTGTCTGACAAACTCGACCAAATTTATCAGTCTCTTACAAACTTACGAGTTTGTTTGATGCGTAAGATAGACAAATCATTAGTAAAGATAAAATAATGATGAGTATTTTATAATACTAAGAGTAATAAACCATTATTCCTGTATTCGCGTTCCCAATACTAATACTGTCGCGATGATAGACTTTATATACTCATATTGAAACGATGCATAATATACAACATATACATAGATTTGGTAACAAATAATAAATAAATAAAAAGATGCAATTGATAAAGTATTAAAAAATAATGGTTCTAATCATTTGTTATTATTTAGCTCGAAAGGTGTTAAATTTAATTTAATTGACTTTGACATGATCCATTATCTTCATCAACAATAACGATGTTATTTAAATATCTTGGCATAATGTGCGAAAAAAAGTTTCCATTCAAAATAGCTTAGATAGTTATGAAAGTGAACAAATCGTTTCCAATAGACATAAATGCTCCAACTATACTCATAGTTGGAAAAACAGGTATTCGTTACATCTTTTTTTTTCATTTCTGTCATTTTGCATTATTTTAATATTGATTTATTTGTTAGGTGCTGGAAAAAGCACATTAGGAAATTATTTATTAAAAAGTTATGACAATGAAAATCCAATGTTTGATGTTTCAGACAGTTTTGTAAGTACATGAATAATTATCAAATTTGAATTTAATTTAATTATGATTTTTAGTTGAAACTTTTAGAATTTTAGGAATCAGTTACAAAGTATTCGAAATTTGCGTTACTTAATACAAAAGGACAATCTTATAACGTTGTCGATACTCCGGGAATTTTTGATACAAATGACATTAGCGATGCAACCACTAAGGAAATCATACGTACAATAGTAAATTGTTGTTCTGGTATCAAGGCCATATTATTTGTATTTGGTGAGTTATTATTATGTATATTTATGGCAGAACTAAGAATATTATTATGTATAAAATTAAAGTCTGTATCAACTGCTTGCAGAAGCAAAACGATTCACGAAGGAACAAAAAGACGTTATTGATGGGATTGTTAAACTTCTCAGAGAGGAATCAAAGCAATACATGATTGCAGTGTTTTCACATTGCAATACAAGGCAAACGGAAAAAACTGACCAACTTAAAAAATCCTGGAACGCCGATGTTCGTATGTTTGTTAACTCCATAGGTTCTCGGTGGGCCATTTCTCCAAATTCCGAACTTTTTCCACCTGATCATCCAGTACATCAATTACGTACCACTGAACTACTAGATACAATTGATAGAATAGATGGTGTATATACAAATGATATCTTCATAAAGATCAGAAAAAAACTAGAGGACGCTACACGAAATGCAAAGGAGGCAGAAGAAAAGCGTCAAAAAGATCATGATATATTAGAAAAGATAACAAATGAGACCATTACAAAATTGAACAATTTAATGCAGAAGGCACAAGAATATGACCAAACTGCTCAAAATATTATAGATTCTTTAAAAGAACTTAAATCGAAAAGTTGTTTTTGGTTAGGGTCACGAGTCATGCTTGAATCTGGTAGAATTATTCAAATGTCTGAACTTCAAATAGGAGATAAAATACTATCAAACATTAATAACGGAATTGCCAAATTTTCGGATGTATATCTCATTGGCCATATAGGTAAGCTTGATCATAAAGTCAAGTTTGCTAAAATTGGCTTCACCAAACCAAATGGCTCTAAAGGTACTTTGGTATACTGTATATATATATAAATGTTTATTTATTTATTTTATTGGATTTTTTTTTTTTTTGATGATTAGCAATTAACTAATGTTTAATGTATTGTTTGATTTTAGGTAGTTTGCTAGTAACAACCACTCATTACATATTCTGTGAAGATTTATCGATAACATTTGCCAAAAATCTACAACCTGGAAAAACCAAAATCTTAATATTAGATGATAATCAACGAACACCGGTTCTTGTTGACGATGTTACAAATGTCAGTTAATATTATTATTGATATGTATTGGTATATTGTTTAAATTTTTGTTTACTTGACATACATTTTTCCAATTTTAGGAATGGCATGACATGTATATTAGTTTCTACACACGAGATGGTACAGTAATCGCCGATGGTGTACTATGCTCTTGTTACGACTATTGTCCACCATCCCAAACATTCATGGATTTTATTTTTCTGCCAATGCGTTTGTGGACTCGTTTCAGACCAAGTATACATCGTGATAACAGTCTACATCCATATGTTCAATTCTTCGAAACTATGTACCTTTTGTTTGTCCACTCTATTAAGCGGGCTAGACAATCTATGATGTGTTCATTTAATCATATTAGAAAATTTGCTAATTTGTTATATAGAAATGTCTGCTTATATTTGAAATTTAGTTAATCACTATTAGTTAATATGTCAGTCATGTTAAATGAAAAACTCGTTTGCAATAAAATAAAAAAGTAAACCTTGAGTGCTATTAAATTTGGTTGACACTGTTGAATTTGATTCGGTTTAGAGTTAATGTTAGATAATAGGTTAAAAGATCATAAAGTATTCACTATTATTCGAACCCATTTAGTTGCAAGATTTACTGTACAGTTTTATTCTTTAAAGTCTTAAAAATCATCATTTATATCGCAAAACATATGCATTTATAGGTGTAAAATGTCACTACGTAAAGGTAAATTCGCTTGGGGATGAAAAAGTATATAGTATCGGTATCGGTATGTGGAGAATCACTAATACCGACACCGATGCAGACACCGACACCGACACCGACCAGAGCCCTCGGATTTTTCTAGCATCTAAAATTGCACTAGTGATATTACGACAAATCCAACCAAAATTTGTTTATTTTAATTCTACACAAAATAAAAAAATTTTTACCGAGTTTAGTTTGATTGTTTGTGATATTGCTTGTGCTATTTTAGATGCTAGAAAAATCCGAGGACTCTGATACCGATACTGATACCCCTTTTTTTTAATTGGCGGGAATTATGCATTAACGGATACAATTCAAGTATAATGATCTGGCATTTTGAAACCGTGATCACCCCCTTGTATGTAACGTGTAAATCGTTGTTATTAATCCATTCAAATAAACCTTTGGCTAAAATGAATACGCATGTTAATCTGACTAATCCCAGTCATAAAATACAGATAAATTATCGTTAATTGAAATATAAATCTTGATGTTCAATTTTTATCGTTATTATTATTAAATTCATATTATAGTGTCATTAATGTCTCGTCGAATATATTGGATCGAAGAAATTGGTACGTAGCGCTACTAATGCGGGCCAGAATTATGAAGTTCACAAATATTCCGAAACCCGAAATACAAACATATTCCCATGTACATTATGCACATCAACTAATAATGTACCTAAAATGGTAATTCCGGAAATAATTCTCAGGATTAATTCATTATCATTATTGGATAACCACGAATTTGAATTAGACCGAAAAGCGAACACTATGATAACAATAACTTATGTTCATATATTCTAAGCGTGATTTTGCCGTGAATGAACCTAGTACATATATATGTATTTTAAATTTAATTTTTATCCATGTATTTTTAGTTAAATACATCGATACGCGGGATCTCTTGCAGTATGGGTGACCCATTCTAAATCAATTGATTAATAATATATACTGCAAGAGATCCATTCAAAAAGAGTTTTTAATAAAATTTATCTAACCACTTATTTTGAGCATCTTTTGATGCGAATAAATTAATCTTGAAGATTTTGATACGTTTGTATGCGTACTATTGTAGATAAATGTAAGCAAGATTCAGGTACCGGTTACCCCTGACTGCATGATAAAAAAAATTGGCCAATGAATTCTCGTCATTTTCAGAAAAAAAAAAAAAAGTATTGGGTATGCCAATAAAATAATAATTGTAATACATATCTGCAAGATTAGATCAAAGGATGTTCAGACAATTATTAACTTCAGTTTATTCTAAAAGATTTCAACAATTTAAATATGTAAAAACTTTATCCTTTCACATTTACCCAATAATTCCAATAAAAAATGTTCAGAAACACCTATATCAAACATCAACATCAACATCAACATCGTTGAAATATGATAGTTCAAATATCATCTATAATGGTCCATTGGCTCAAACCGCAAAAAAATTGAAAACTTTTTCTATAATTACTTTGGCCATTACCTTTGCTAGTACACCTTTATTTTTTATGATGGATACTGCTATGGTTACAAGTGCTCGAGCAATTATGGTATTATTTTGTGAGTAATAGTAGTTTATGAAATGTTTGAATGTTTAAATGTTTAAATGTTCGAAATGTTAAATAACGTTAAAAAATTTAATGAAATTTATGTAGTAATATCAACAAGTGCCGCATCTACAGGTCTAATTCATTGGTGCGTTTCTCCTTATGTTGCAAAAATTTATCATCATTTAAATTTATCTCCAACGAATAATCATGATAAGGAAGGATTTGAAAAAAAAAATTCAATGCCTTCAATTACACCCGATTCTTTTATAACTTTTGAAACACTCAACTTATTTGGAAGACCTCATTTTACAACTCTTCAAATTAAATCACTTGAACCATCTACTAGAGTTTTTACGAATTGGAAAATTAAGAAGCAATTCGAAAATAATGTTTATGGTGTAACGATGTCTGGAAAAAAAACAAATGCCAAACGTCTCTTTTATATACATTCTGAATTACGAGAAAACGATTTAATGTTACAAGTTTTTAAATCAATTTCCTGAATCCTATTTCTTAATATATTATTTTATTTTGGACTTGCTGACTTTAACGCTAAAAAAAAAAAAATACAATAAAAAGCCAATCAAAAACAATCATTTTTACTTTAAAATGTTACACCAGTAATCGGAAATTTTGCTCCATAAAGTATATATCACATGATGGATGTTTCAATTATTTTTCGCATTTCGAATTTCATTTGAATTCATTTCTAAAGTTTTTTTTTTTTTTTTTACCATGAGTACTGAATATTGGAGAAAAGATGGCGATTATTCGTCTTCATACTCTCATATCAAGCAAGAACCACAAGAATATCCTCAAGGTTTATTAAATTTAACTTTGAAAACTGAAAGATTAACTTGCTTACTGATTTTATTTTATTATTAGAATCCTCAGCGTTAGCTTCAGAATTAGCTAGCAATTTTTTGTCAAAGATGGAATCCACTTATATTAAACAAGAACATGAAAAGATGGAATCCCCTTATATTAAACAAGAACACGAAACAACTCCTGATAAGGGTATGTGCTTTTTAACAAAGTTGAATTTTCTCCTATTTTCTTTTTTTTTATTCTTTATTTGTTGATTAAGTTGGCTGAAAAGGAGGGAAAAAAAGAACCAGATTTTATTTATACACAAACATATAACTATAGGGCCTTCACATATATCTCTATATATCCCTTATTTATTCTTTTTTATCTGAACAATTTTGGGAAAATAGTAACTAATGTTATGTTGTAATCGCTCTTTTTCCTTTTTTTTTTTTTTCTCTTTTTATTGTGGTCAATTATCACGTTTAGTGGGTTCTCTTTCCTTTGATAGTTCCAACAAGAGAAAATCAAAGATGTTTTGGCAAAATTTGATCTTTTTTTTTGTATTTTCTAATTTATCTGAGAATACGAAATTTTTTTTTTGTCTTTTTTTTTTTTTTCTTTTTTATCCCCTTGTTTTTTTTTTATTTAAGCAGCGCAGCTTAACTTCGATCCTATTGCATATGTTTGCATGAAAGATTCCGGGCAGATTCGATCCATTTGGACCTTCTCACTCTCTTTTTAGGTCATACTAATGAAACTCAAATCATAAAAATTATTTCTTCTTTTTATTGCTATGTATGACATTGTCATACTATCGCTTTATAGCTTTTCGCTCACACGACGAACATACTTCTCATCGTGATCGGTCGCGTGATAGAAATGAACGACATCGATCTGTAAAGGAAGAAGATGATCGCCGCGATAAAAAACGCGATAGAGATAGAAGTGATAGAGATAGAGATAGAGACCGTGATCGATCTGATCGTGCCGATCGAGGTGATCGTGATAAAGACCGTGATCGTGAAAGGCGAAGGGAAAGAGAACGTAGCCGTGATAAAAATCGTCGTGATAGAGAACGTGAAGAAAAAGATGAAAGAGAACGTAAATCACGTCGTTCAAGAAAAAGAAGTCGTAGTCCTAGTAATAGGCGGCGTAGTCGTAGTCCTAGGCATCATTCTCGCTCTCGTTCAATAACTCCTATCAACAGAAGAAGAAGAAAGTTAAATAATTGGGATTTACCGCCTCCAGGTTATGAAGGCATGACTGCTGAACAAGTTAAAGCTACTGGTTAGTTTCATTATTATTATTATACATTTATAACTTCATTGCCTATTACTATGTTAACGTACCATTTTATTCAAAAGGTCATTTTCCACTTCCTGGTCAGCCTGCTACCACTAGACCTACCGCTATTCCTACTTCACCAATTATACCTGGTATGGATCCTTCTAGAGCTGCTGCTATGCTGATGGGAATGACTCATGAACTCCCCCCTCGACCGAAAGTAAGTCAGGGTGCTGCTGGTCCTGTCGCACAGACTGCATCTCTTGCAAGGCAAGCTAGACGTCTTTATGTTGGAAATATTCCTTATGGTATTGATGAGGTTTGTATTTATATTGTGGCTATATTATGACTATATTACGACTATATTACGAGGCTATATATATATATTATCCCACCATTGTCGTTTTATTCTTAACTCTTTATTTGTACCTGCATTAGAATGGTCTATCAGAGTTCTTTAATTCAACAATGGTACAATTGAATATCACTACTGCACCAGGTCAACCAGTTATAGCTGTTCAAATTAACCATGACAAAAATTATGCATTTGTAGAAGTAAGATTTGATTGGATTTTATATGAAATACTATAAATAATGTTTATATACTTACGTATTTAATGATTTTGTTATAGTTTCGTGCCCCCGAAGAGGCCACCGCAGCAATGGCTTTTGATGGAATTACATTTCAAGGTCAGTCTTTAAAGATTCGACGTCCAAAAGATTATCAACCACCTCCTGGACAAAATCTCGAACCTCCTCCAATTCATGTTCCTGGTGTCGTTTCAACTAATGTACCTGATAGTCCAAATAAAATATTCATTGGTGGTCTGCCTACATATTTGAATGATGAACAAGTTATGGAACTGTTGAAATCTTTTGGTGAACTCAGAGCTTTTAATTTAGTCAAAGATAGTTTAACAGGTGTATCCAAGGTAATTAACTATTTTATATAGTCCTTTTAGTTTTATTTTAGTTTTATAAATAATTTTAAATTTTTGAATTTGTCTTTTCTTTAGGGATTTGCATTTTGTGAATACGTTGATCCAAGTGTAACTGATTTGGCTTGTCAAGGATTAAATAATATGGAATTGGGTGATCGTAAGCTTGTCGTTCAGCGTGCGAGTGTTGGTTCTGCAAAAAATACAGGTGTAGCAAGTGTCCTACCCTCTTCTGTGCTTATTCCTTCTGGTAATGGTGAAATGATTCCCACAACTGTTCTTCAACTACTTAATATGGTCACACCTGAAGAATTAGTAGACGATGATGAATATGAAGGTTAGTAATACCTTGATTTAATACCTTAATTATTATTATTAAAATTTTTTACACGTTAAAATTGATTTAAATCTTGATCTTAAATGCAATTAGACATTGTTGATGATGTTCGTGAAGAATGCTCTAAATTCGGTCGTGTTATTGATATGAAGATTCCCAGACCTGGTAGTGGATCATTATCGGGGATCGGCAAGGTACGTTTTTTATAAAAGCATATCAATGATTTTATAATTCCTTTAGGTAAATTTCTTATTCAAAATTTATGTAATTTTCAGATTTTCGTACGTTTTGAGTCTATAGAGGCGGCAGGTGCAGCGCTTCGAGCGCTTGCTGGTCGAAAATTTGCAGAACGCACTGTTTTGACATCATATATAGATGAGGATATGTATTATGCAGAAGACTTTTAATTAGAGATGATGATCAGTTAGGCTATACAAATTCAAAATTATATAATTGATTTTCATATCACGATATAATGATTTGAGACACGGCCGCACGGCTTTTTTTTTTTTTTTAAGTAAAAAAATTTTTTTTAAAAATAAGATGAAGATCGGTTATAATATAACCAATTGTTTAGCCAAATTAATTGTAATTGATCTAGGAGTTCTGTTCGAAGTAGGGTGCAGGGAAAAAGCCCGGTTGATTTCGGAAATTTCGAAGGCTATAAAAACCAGGTTTCACAATTAGTACTTAAGCCGAAATCAGTATATGTACATAATAAACACACTTTTAGCAAATGGGCTCCATTTTTATTTCTCACACGCCTGCTGCCAATAACAAGCCTTCAAAGTTAACCGGGTCGGGCCTAATCGGGCTGGGCCCGACCCGGTTAACTTTGAAGGCTTGTTATTGGCAGCAGGCATGTGAGATACAAATGGAGCCCATTCGCTACGTAAAAGTATGTTTATCATACTAAATACATATACTGATTTCGGCTTAAGTACTAATTGTGAAACCTGGTTTTTATAGCCTTCAAAATTTCCAAAATCAGCCGGGCTTTTTTCTCAATGGGTTCATGACTAATAGCCTATTATTATAACTGGTCATGTGGTTATAACTGTGACCGGGTCAGACACCTAATTTAGTAATGTTGTACAACGGAAATCAACTGAGCTAATAACCGACAATAACGAAATAACCGACTGATGACCAACCAATCTCGTCCTTACCCAAGTTATCGTTATAGTGAAATTTGCCAATTTTATAATGATAATTGACTAGTCAAATAAAAGACCTTTACTATTAAGTATTTGAAATAATTTATAAATTTGAATATTCACTACGTATATATACTTAATTTCGTTTTATTTAGGTTAATTTAGTGCGTATGTATATAAATAACTAACGATAAGCTGTGAATATTTATAATTTAAAGTGTATAAATAAGTTATCCGGGAAATTGGTTTACATCATCCAATCAGACAAATGTCATTCTTTGAAAGCTTCGATTTCATGATTACACAATGTCAGAAAACTTAAGACTTTTGAAAGGGTAAAATGATTAATTTAATTTGACTACCGCTACGTAAAAAGTTTCAAAGTCATGGGATATATGTATTTCCAAAAGTATGTCAACAGACATTATATTATTGATACTAAAGAAATTTATTATTTTCTGATTTAAATTTTCATAAATTTCCATAAACCATAAGAAAAAAATTGCAATCCAAAATAAATATAAAAGCGAAAGTCAATAGCACAAAGAACCTTAAAACCTTGTGAATTTTACTCTTAATGTTTATTGAAAGAAAAACTTTAAGCAATTGTGCGAAATAAATGACAAAGTTTTATTCAGTTAACTTACTAATGAAATCGTTAATAAAACGTTCTTTTTTTGTTACTCGTATGAATTACAGTATTTAGTTTTTATCGATACATTTGCTTCGTATTGTGACATTTCATAATTAGTCTGCCGAAATTCTAAAATTCTAGTCGAAATGTCTAAATATTAACAAGTATCCGAACTTGTTTATTTTGTGTATTTCACACTACATATCGGTCAATGGACATGTCTCCTGATCTGCATATTCTTATTTGTTAATAATTTAATGCCTTTAAAATATAGAACAATATAATAATAAATTCTAATAAAAGTTATTTCGCAACCTTTCTTTATATGTCTTTTATAAGTTACAAAGCAAATATTCAATATAAATAATCTTTTTAGCTAGTTATCTATTGTCTATTTTACGTTAATAAATCTAAATAAATGCTTAAGATGCTTTAAAAGTCTATAATATTAATGACAGTTTTTTTTATTTATTTGTTGAAATTAGCCTTAAAAAAAATAAAAATTATAATTTAATTGTATAATAATATAGAAAATTTATTATCAAGTATAGTAAAAAACATTATATTGAATTTAATTTGCTAGCAGAATTCACATGTATTACATATATTTATAAATATACTTATAATAGTTTTTTATATATTGATATAAAACAATTACTGTATAGGACATTCATTTATATAATTTTGCATTTTAGAATAATTCGAAACTGAATTATCTTTATATGTTTCATCTATTGAATTTTGATAGGTTTTTATTTTTTATTTTTTTACCTAAAAAATTTTCTTTTTGCTTCTTACTAGAGCATATTACAACATTATGAGCTTTATGTTCAGATGTTTTTTTTTCAAATTTTTCAATAGCTTGACAATATATTTCATAAATTTTATTTATTTTTTTTTTTTAAATATTAAGGTGAGTACTTGCGACCCAGGATTTTATTGATAGTACATTCAGCTAATGGTTG